AAATAAGCAATGAATGGGTAGATGGATGAATGAACGAACGAAGGAATGAATGAATGGATGGACGAATGAATGAATGAACCGATGAATAAGAGATAAAATGGGTTTTGATTTTTTTTTTTTTTGGTTTTTCGAGGCAGGGTTTCTCTGTATTGTTTTGGAGGCTGTCCTGGAACTAGCTCTTGTAGACCAGGCTGGTCTCGAACTCACAGAGATCCGCCTGCCTTTGCCTCCCAAGTGCTGGGATTAAAGGCGTGCACCACCACTGCCCAGCTTTGATTTTAAGTTTTTTTTAAGGCAATGCATTTCTGTGAGACAAGTTGGTGGCGCATACCTTTAATACCAGCACTCAGGAGGCAGAGGCAGGTGGATTTCTGTGAGTTCGAGACCAGCCTGGTCTACAAGAGCTAGTTCCAGGACAGCCTCCAAAACAATACAGAGAAACCCTGTCTCAAAAAACCAAAACAAACAAAACAAAACAAAAAACTTAAAATCAGAACAGGAGAGATGATTGAGCAGTTAGGAGCATTGAATGCTTTTTCATAAACCTGGGTTCAATTCCCCACCTCCCACATGGTGGCTCACAACCAGTTTCAGAGGGACCTGACACTCTCTTCTGGCCTCTGTGGGCACTGAACACATGTGCAGACAAAAAACACCCATGCACATAAAATAAAAACAAACTTCAAAAGGACCTTAGAACAAAATAAAGACAATACAACATACATTAGAAATGACCTTTATAGAAATACAAAAATATGAAAAGCATAGAAATGTAATAAGTAAAATCCCATAGACTCACAACCAGAATTACCCAACTGTATTACTTTTTGAAGGGTAGAGGTAGCTCAGGCTGGCCTCAAACTCACAATCATCCTGCCTCAACCTCCCAAGCACTTAGGCTACAGACGTGCAACACTTCACCAAGTTCAAAATTAGCTTTGTTTTTTGAGAAAGGCCTTATATAATCAGGGCTGGCCTTGAATTTAGTATATAGGCAAGAATGACCTTCAATTTCTGATCCCCTTCCTTTATTTGCCTCTGGTGTGCTGGGATTACAGGTGTGTGCCACCACACCCAGTTTATAAAGTTCTGGGAACATAATCCAGGGCTCTGAACAAGCTAGGAACTCAGCCATGACCCCAGGCCGGTAGTAACAGTTGATATTGTTTGATGCATTTCTTTCCAATTGTTTAGTTTCCATTTTTGCCATACCTAAGATCACACGGCATGCAGATTTTTCCACTCTGACATAATATCACAAGCATTTTCCCATTACTGACATGCTAATGAAATGCTTGTGTAGTGAATGACTCCAATATATCTTTGGACATTGATCATTGTCTCTGCTTCTGAATGCCTCCTTAAGTCAAGTTCACCAAAAATAGACTCTACGAATCAAGGCGTACTATTTAACTCATTTTTAGTTTTGGATACAGGTTTCCATATTTCCTATCCACATATCATGCTAATTTACACTCCTACCAGCTACATAGAAAGTTGGTAGGGAGATATCAGTGTCCCCATGATATACCATATGACTCTGACAACAATAGCCGAGACACAGAGTCAACCTGGATGCCCATAATGGAAAATGTAACATAGGTATGTGGGTAGGTACATGCACACGCACACACGCACGCACGCACGTGCGCACGCACACACATACACACACTTAAGGAGGCACACTATTTCATCCACCCATCTCATTTTCACTCACTGACAACTGCCACCCGAAGCCCTGTAGCAAGGAGTGGCACATTCCACCTCAAGGAGACCTATTTTCATGTTCACCAGCCAATATTTATAAGAATTCATCTTGAGCCAAATGCTGCTTTGTGCTTTGCACGAGTTATATTCCATCAATCTTCCTCCAAAAAGCTTTCGAGCACATCTTCCCCTAGGACTTCTATACTCTAAGCTGAGTAAATACATTGAACTTCCCTTTTGTGAAATGGCACCTTTCTCCTCATTGCCTTGATTCTCTGGGAAATAGCCGTGGCATTCATGATTCCACACTGTCTCTTTTCTGAAAGGAACCTGTCTGTAAGTCCATTGCCATGGACCTTTTCCAGCCCCGTTACACTACCGCCAAAGAGAATTTCAGCAGGTGACTGTGAAGCTCCACAGAGACAACTTGCTCTTCTTCTGTGAGGACTGGGGCCTCTCCCCGTATGGAGGCTGCTCCGTCATCAGCATTTCCAGAAAAATACGGTGCACGGAACAGAAACCTTATGTTTGTTAGCTTCAGATCAGTGTGACCAAATTCCTGGGAGAACCAGCTTAAGGGAGGATGAATTTGTTTGAGCTCACGGTTGCAGTGGTGTCCACCAATGCAGAGAGGGAGTGGCAGAGCGGGACAGTTCACAGAATGACAGGAAGAATGCAAAGAGAAAGAGGGACAGGAAGAGGCTAGGGCAAGATACAGCTCCAAGAGCTCTCCAGCGACCCACTCCTTCCAACTAGTTCCCGCCTCCCACTTCTCAGCATCCTTTAAAATGCCTTTGTATTATAACTCCACCCAGAGACCGATCCGATGATTAGTCAGGACCTTTGTGATCCAGTTGCTCCTGGAAACATCCTCACGGGCATGCCCAACCTCATCCCCTAGGTGTCTCTTAATCCAATCAAACTGACAGTCAGGGTTAGCCACCACAGCTGCAGGCCTACAGCAGTAATCACCTAAAGCATGAATGAACAAGAAAGTACTGTTCGGGGGCTGGGGAGGTTGACTCATCCTGGAAAGTGCTTTCTTCCCACACAGGAGAACCTGAGTTCACTCTCCAGATCCCACATAAGGAGCTGGGTGTGGTGGTGACACACACTTGTCATTCCGACCCCAGAGGGTCCCTGGATCTTGCTGGCCAGTCAGTCTAGCCTCTGAGAATAAAATGTACAACTCCTAAGCAATGATGCCTGACCTGCACGTGCGTACGCGTGCGCGTACACACACACATATACGCACACACACAAACACATTAGCATACACATATACCCATAAATTCACATACACATACTTATACACACACACCATACACACAAATATGTGTGCACACACCAAAATTCATACACACCCATATATACACACGTGTATACATACACACACATATATGTGCAGACACACACCAATATACAATATACCTATTGATGCATTCATATGCACACATGCACTGTACAACACATATACGTGTGCACATACATTTTAATATACACATATACCCATACATGCACATATACATATACACATATATATTAACACACGATACCTGCACATACATGTGCACACACACCAACATACACATATACCTATTTATACACCAATATCTATTCACATACACATATGCACACACACCATATAACACATATACATGTGTACACACACCAATATGCATATGTATATATATCATATACATACACCAATATTCACATACATACATACACACACCATACACACACATACATGTGCACACACATCAATATACACATACACACATGCATACACCTACACACCAATATACATATATGTCCATACAAACACACACACATTTGAGGTCATTAGTAACTGGGCAAAGTTATCAATACAGAAAATTACCAAAATGTGGCAATTTAGGCAAAGGAGAGACCTTTACTCTCTCTCTCCATGTCAGGAGACTTTCCTCCATGAGACATTTGTGGAGTAGTATACCCACATCCACTCAGTTAGTTCACAAACACTGGTATAATAGAAAGTACATGATGCCAAGAGCTACTCTAAGAATTCTACCGAAACTTACTTAGTCAACCTAAAAGCCCATTGTGGAAGATTCTATTCTCTCCATCTCACAGATGAGGTTGTTGAGGCAGGAAGAGGTCACACAGGGGGTCACAGAATGATCCACAACAGCCATGCTTCTGGTCTCCAAAGGGGTGCGTTTACTAAGGATGCAACAAGGACACATTAAAGAATAAAACAGCATGCAGCAGAAAGATAGCAGGGCATCAGAGTGACACTTGGACCACGCAGGAGGACACACATGAGGAAGGTCTCGTCTTAACAAGCTGGAGTTCCTTGGTGAGAGCTCTGGGCAGAGCAGCATCTCCTCAGGTAAGGCTTTCATGTAAAGAAAAAGAAGCAGCAACAGACAGAGATAGGATCTGGATGTGGGGAGCTCACAGCATCCAGCAGAAACCCACCGGAGTGGCTGAGGTCGTCATCTGGGGCTCTCCACGGAGCTTGCTCTCCCTGGATGAGCTGCAGGTTCTCTATCCAGCTGCAGGCACTTGCTTATCGTGAGACAAACACCAGTGACCCCCGATGGAAATGGGTCACCCTCTGGCTGCCCTCGAGAACACAATGTTTTCACTCTTGGGTTGTTTTGCTGTTCTCGCCCCTGTCAGTCAGGGGAACCCAGCCTATCTCTAGACACTGAGTCTTAGATGACACTTTGAGGCAGACATGCTTGAGTCTGATGTTGGGGGTGGGGTGGGAGTGGGGAGGTTGACAAGTCCATTCCCAGAGCCAGCTTCTCAAACAGCTGGAAAAGCACGTGTCCATTTACCAATAGGATGTACATTACAGAGTTCAAACTCAGGAAGTGTGGCCCTGTGTCACATTGTCAGCTGCTGGCTGAGCACCCAGCATGGCCACCAACTCTTACAGATGCCAGTGTACTGAGGGTGTTCACTCTTCAGGCCTTCTCGGGATAACTCCAGGGAGTGAGGCCGCTAGTCGGAGTTCTCCACCGAGCATGCCCTCCATGGCTGAACCTGTGGGTCCTCACTTTATATCATGAGATAAACACTGCTACTAGACTCAGAGACACAAAGTTGCTGGTTCAAGATCACACAGGGACTCTATCTATCTATCTGTTTTGATTTTTTGGTTTGTTTGTTTAGAGATAGGGTCTTTCTACATAGCCCTGGTTGTCCTGGAACTCACAATACAGAACAGCTGGCCTCAAACTCATAGAGGCCACCCGCCTCTGCCTGCTGAGTGCTGGGATTAAAAGCATGCACCCCCCTGCCCAGCCTCACAGGGATCTTAATGGCAGTAAAGACCATGCTCTGTGGAACAATGATGACTGATGGTGAAAAAGTGCTGGGTAGGTTGCTGAGGCTGTAACTCATTTGGTAGAGTGCTTGCCTAGCATGCACAGCCCTGGGTTCCATCCCCCAGCAACACACAACACTGGATGTCATGTTGCATTCCTGGAACACCCGTTCTCACCTGTAGGTGAGTCAGGAGTACGTCCAAGCAGTGGTGGTGTGAGGGCTTGCTGTGGGTAAAGCTTGCTATGAAAGGCTGAGTTCAATATCCAGAGCTCATGGGGGCAAAGCCACTGTAATGATGCAAGTCTTGTAATTCCAGGATTGGAGAGGCAGCAGCCAGCAAGTGTAGCCTACCTGGTGAGTTCTAAGTCAGTGAAAGACCCTGTCTCAAAACCAAGGTGGATCATGCCTGAAGAATGGCAGCTAAGGTTGTCCTCTGGCTTCCATGTGCACCCACACTAACACCCCTTTCTACCTGTATACACATGTATGTATTATACACACACACAAAGTTCAAGGTTATCCTCAGCTACATAGCAAGTTCAAGTCCAAGATGGTATATTTGAGACCATGTCAGAAAGAAGGGAAAGTTGGAAGGGAGGGGGGAAGGAAGGAGGGAAAGGCAAAGAAAAAAGACAGGGAAAGAAGGAAGAAAGAGAAGAAAGAGAGACCACACTCCAATACATTTCAGCTGTCTGTTCTGAGAGCCAGATCTGCATAAGCCCAGCACCATGACATCTTCGGGAATTCTCTCAGTCTGTATCACCATCACTGCCATTAATAGATGTTTACCTGGCATCCAGCTTAGGAGAAATGCTATGCCAGGCTCGCTTGCCCCAGTTAACACCGCAGCGATAGGCTTGCTCTAATTAGCCCTCGGCATGGTGTAAGATGAAATAAACTGAAATGCATCCGGCTCCCCGGTCAGGTGGCTCTTACCCGATGCCTACGGTTTTCACAAGCTTGCACAGCAGCCAGCTGCCCCAGAGTGTAGCAGGAACCGAGAACATAATATCCCTGTCCTCCTGTTTCATTATCACCAGCGAGGGTGTCCGCATTAAAGGATCAGTGTGAAATGGACAATTCACACATCTTCCCCGTTTCGCAACAGTGTCCGTCCCTGCTGTTGCCACGGATGCTGGGCCTGCTGCAGCTTCACAGGGTTTGCCACAACAAGAGGAAAAGGTCTCTATCAGCAGGAAGCACGTGCAGACAAGCAGGCAGCTGTGCACATGAGTGCGCATTCCCTAAGCCCCATTCTTCGCATGGTGTAAGGGTGTCTCCAGAAGGTTCAAGTGTTTTTTTTTAGAACAGTGGTTCTCAACCCAGAATGGCCTTTTCACAGGGGTCGCATATCAGACATCCTGCATATCAGTTATTTACATTACGATTCATAACAGTAGCAAATTTATAGTTATGAAGTAGCAACAAAAATAAGTTTATGGTTGGGGGGACACCACATGAGGGTCACAGAATTAGGAACGTTGAGAAACACTGGTTTAGAAGTTTGGTCTCTGATGGGGCAGGGTTTAGGAGAAGGTAGGACAGAAAATTCATGGGGCCAGTCTGGAGCGAGATTCAGCAACAGAGCTCCTGCCTAGAATCCCCCAGTGATGAGAGGCTAGGGGTGTGGCTCAGTGGTAGAGCCCCTGCCTAGAATCCCCCAGTGATGAGAGGCTACGGGTGTGGCTCAGTGGTAGAGCCCCTGCCTAGAATCCCCCAGTGAGGGGCTGGGGTGTGACTCAGTGGCAGAGCACCTGCCTAGAATCCCCCAGAGAGGGGCTGGAGTGTGACTCAGTGGCAGAGCACCTTCCTAGAATCCCCCAGTGAGGGGCTGGAGTGCAGCTCAGTGATAGAGCACCTGCCTAGAATCCCCTAGTGAGAGACTGGGACATGAGTCATCAGTCATATGCTTGCCTAGTAATACACAAGGACTTAATATTTCATCATCAGCGTGCCTCCCTCCAAAAGGGTGGGGTGGGAAATCACTAGGTCATTCAGGGCACTGACCTTGGAAAAAGTTAACATTGATCTCAAAAACAGTTGTTATGAGAGAAAGTCCACACAAAAGAAAAAGGCTGGCAACCTTAGACTTTCAGCCTCCAGACTTCATACTTTGTATAATACCTAACCTCTAGTATTCTGCTATCAAAATGACAGCAGGGAGCAGGAGAGAAAAGAGAAAAGACACATTTGAGGAAAGTCTCTTTTGCCTTGATAGGGGCAGCTAAATTGCTTGACTGGCACAAGGCCAATGGTCCAGTACAATCTTTCTTCCCCAATTTTTACATTGTTAGCAACACTCTTTCCAAAAATGGAATGACACAGGGACAGGGGTGGGGGGAGGCTCCCAGGTCTTGTTTGGGAAACTTGTCACCTTCAGATATAAGGTATTTATGACAGGAAAGGCCTTCTATTACCCTGGCCCAGTCAGCCATCTGGAGACCCCTTGTGAAGACTTAAGCCCTCCCAATACTCTGGCTGGTAATGCCTTAAACTAGAGAGAATTCCAGGTACCCTGTGTTCACATCCTGAGCCATCCATCTTCCGTTGCTCCAAATCCAGTGGCCTGGTTTGCAATCCTGAGTTCTCTCCTACTATCTGCCTTAGCTTCTAGCCACTGGACCCTGTTTGAATAATCTATCCCCCAGCAGTAAACACTATTTCCTGGAAGACAGAGATTCATCATGCTCTTTTAGCTTTCTCTCTCAAGTTCCAGTCTCCGGTGACAAAATCCCAGCTCTAAGCCCAAGCCTGGTGTCCTCATCTGCCTCTGTACTTTCACTAGATCATCACTCCTTCCCTGGGAGGCTGATGCTTGATGTCTTCTGATCTGCACATATGTGCCATGACATGCGATATGTGTGTGCCTGAACATGGGATGGCGGGAGGAAAGGAGAGAGAGAGAGAGAGAGAGAGAGAGAGAGAGAGAGAGAGAGAGAGAGAGAGAGAGAGAACAAAAGGTAAATTCAAATGGGCTTGGTGGCCCTCATCAGTCATTCAGGACTTGAGACACTGAGGCAGGGAGACTGCTGTACATTTTAGGTCAGCCTTCCTAACCAGCTAGTGGCATCAATGTACACAGTAATATTTTAAAAGCATCTACTACTACTGTAATTTTGTAACTTTAAGTACAAAGGGTAAATAATAAACTTTTGGTGCTTTCTGGGAGGCCTCTGACATGTTATAAAATTACAATCAGAACACAGACAGGACCAAAATGAAGAGAAACACCAGTTGTCACAGCATTTAAATCTTACCTGCCACTGAAATGTCACCCTTCTCAAATTGAGTCCCTTGGGAAATACAGGGCTGGGGCAGAAGGAAGGTAGCACGTCCAGAAGGCAGGAGAGTCAGCCTTTCAAGCTCAAGAGAGACTTAGCTGGGGATCTCTTATTTCATGTCATTCTCGGAATTTGGGGTTGGTGCAGCCAGGGTGTGGGGGGCTGTGAGAGAAGGAAGAGGACAGGAGATAACCTCAGGAGTGCAGTGGGAAGTGGTTCCCCCTCTTTTCAGAGTCTGGTCATCTAGTCATGTCCTCTGCCTCTACTAAATAGTATCAACCCCAGACTCTGCAAGAGGGCTTCCAACTGGAGATGATGCTTGAAGGAGATAGTCTGCTTGGATATCCTGTTCCCCTGGACACATCCTATCGTGACATCCCAGAGTAACACAGATGGGTAAAGGCAGAATTTTATGTAGGCTTTGTAGAGCAAGAATGCCTTCCTTTGGTTTCTTGAGAGTCAAGAGTGACTCTCTTGGGATATCTGAGTCTTCCAAGCTTCTCTGTCTACCCACCCAGCTGTGAACACCAGATTGCCATTACTGGGGTGGGTGCTTCATTCGATGGCTCTTGCTGGGGGGGGGGTTGGTGAGGACTAGTTCTCATGGGCACAGAGATGAAGTTGTTATCTACATGGTCCCCGATACAAAAGATTAGAGTGACAAATGGAGATGGGGTGGGAAATGGATTGTTACTTTTAATAAGCAGATCATAACTAGATTTATAAAGGTTAAAAGTGTTGTTTCAGTACACTGTGTGTGTCATATTCAATCATTATATAATCAGTATACATTGATTGATTATAAGCGTCAGTATACATTGTGGAGTGAACAAAACAGACTAATTAGCATGCTTATCATTTCTTTGTGATAAAAGCGGTTACATCTTTTAGCTATTTTGAGGGTCTGGGGAGATATATCACTTGTTAAATAATTACCTCACAAGCATAAGGAGCTGAGTTTGGGCCCCCATAACCCATGTAAAAAGCCAGGCAATAATAAGACTGCAAATGGGAGGCAAAGACAGGTGGATTTCAAGAAACATACTGCCCAGCTAGTCTTGCCTATGTAGTAAAGTTCCCAGCACATAAGGGACCTAGTCTCAAAATAAAAAAAAAAAAAAAGGTGGAACACTCCAGGGGACCAACAATTTGTTCTCTGACCTTTACATGCATATTGAATGCATACATGCATCACACACACACACACACACACACACACACACGAATTAAATAAACAAAAATAAACATGAAAATCCTATAGCTATTTTGATATATGTCCATATGTTACTAATAGCTATAGTCACTACACTATGTAGTTAAACTGAATCTCCTATCTGTCTGAAATTTTGTTCCTGTGGTGGTCAGTTTTAGTGGTCAACTTGACACAATCTAGAGTCACCTGGAAGGGGAATATCAATGAGGGACTTTCTGGATGGGGTTGATCTGTGGCCCTGTCTCTGTGGGACTGCCTTGATTACATTAATGAGGTAGGAAAAGCTTGCATCAAAGTGGACAGCACAATTTCATGGGAAAAGGAGAAAGCACGCTGAGTGTTAGCTTCTATTGCTCGCCTCTGAGTGCAGATACTATGTAACCAGTTCCTTCAGCAGCTGGAGTTTACTCTGAGTGCAGATACTATGTAACCAGTTCCTTCGGCAGCTGGAGTTTAGCTCCCTGTTATATGGACTCTAACCTGTAGCTCAAGAATCACTAGCTAGAAATAAACCCTTTCTCCCCTAAACTGCTTTTGTCATTTTGTCACAGCAACGGGAAACTAAGACTGTTCCCATTCGTTTACCTCTTCCCCCCATCCGACACCCCTTTTAACGTGAACGAATGTCTAATCCACATACAACGGTGCTTATTTGCATACAATGATGCCTAATATGAATGCAATAACACGCGCATCTGCATACAGCGATGGAGATACACTGGAATGCACAGAGCAACCACAGCTGCAGACTGTTGTGGGGGTCTGAGCATTACTTCCATTCATGCGTTATCCAAAGTGTGATTTTTTCTTTCTTTTTTAAAAGATTTATTTTATTTGTGTGTGTACACGTACATGTGCGTGTGTATGCATGCATGTGTGCGTGCGCAAGTGCTCACATGCTTACAGGTGCCCATGAAAGCCAGACATGGTGTCAAATTCCCCGGAGCTGGATTGATAGACACTTGTGAGCCATGTCATCCGGGTGCTGGGTACCAAACTCTGGTCCTCTGCAGAGCAGGAAACGCTCCTAACTGCTGAGCCATCCATGCAGCCCCTGAAGTTCAATTTTCCTTCCATCCTCTCTATACTCCCTCCTCCAAAGGGGAAAAAAATTATGAGACGACGTGAGTGTATTGTCTCCCAAATAAAGGTAAAGTGACAGCGCTTTCAGTGAAAGGCTCTGCATGATTGGAATTAAATGTCAAATACGATTTTCTGTTGGCAATTCAAAGTGTCTGTGTCAAAATCCAGAGTGATGGTGTGGCTGCAGATTAGTATCTGTGTGAATGGCGGCTTCGCACTGTGGGGAAGGTTTACGATTCAGTAGATTAACACAGCTCCCTTCATGCTACCACTTAAGAGATAATTTGTTCAAGCAAGACACGACTATATTGTGACTGCCCGTGAGCAGGAATTCCCTGTCCCCTGAAGTCACCCATCCCCTATGAGGGTATTTTGATGATGCATGCACTCTGCCCTGCTGTTTATGGGGGGGGTGGCATCTGCCATCATAACTGGGTGACAGACAGGAGGGCTGAACCAGATACAGCTTTTGGCAGCCCAGCTGTCGGTAGCTACCAGCTCTGTCTACTTGCCATGTCTCCGGGAAAATGGAGTTCTTATTGATCTCCCTGATATGAAATGGCCTTCCAGGCTGGAGATTTGACTCATTTCATTTCAGCTTTCCACATGGGATGAACAGAGGAGGGGAGCTTCCTGACAGGTCACTGAATCATGTACACGGCCAGCAGGCTTCTTCTGGGCCTAGAGAAAATGATGGCCACCAGGACCCAGGGAAGTTTAGAAACTTGCACGGTCACATCACACAATTGGTGGGAAGAGCATAGGTCACGTCACACAATATTCACAGCATGGCAGAGGCTATGTTTTCATGGTTTACGAAGCTCCAGTATCCTGCGTGATACAAAAAGTGACTTTGATGGGACAATGTTTTAAGACTTTGAAGTGACTTGGGCTGAGTATGTAACTGGGAAGTAAAGCATTCACCAGAGATCGGAAGGAGGAGCTGGAGGCTCACTGGTAAAGCACCTGCCTAGTGTGCACAAGATTCCACCCCCAACCCTAACAAAAAGGGTAGGACACATTGAGCAATTTGCATTGTGAGTCCACAGCAGAGATAGGGAGAACCACGTCTCCTGATTCCTGGTTGAGTGCTCTCTACCTCAGACTGTGGGACTTTATCTGGCAGACACTATATTTGCTCTTTCTTCCCCCAACAGAAACTTGGCCCCGCCCCACCCCACCCCCACACACATCTGGGGACAGAAGTAAACAGCCAAAGCTGTCTCTTTTCAGAAAAAGCATTTCTGTACTCCGACCAAGGATGTGAGGAGTTCACAAGACTATGTTCCGGCTGCGATTTAGAATGTTGACTCTGTTGCGGGTGACCTCTGACGCCCAGACGCATTCATAAGGTGCCATTTTCAACTCTCCTGCCAGTCTTCATCCTCATCTGTATCAGAATCTTAATGCCCGCTTCCCTGTTTGAATTATGGTAATTTATTGTAATGGTGTATTTTGACCTTTTCAGTATTTTGTGTTTTTATTGGATAGCTGTTTCGCCTCTTCCCTGGGGGGTTAAGCCAGGTTGAAAACAAGAAAGAGTGGTAGGAACAACCAATCAAAATACAGAATATTAAAAAGGTCAACACACAAGAGCAAACTGCTAATTTGGAAAACACAAATATAAGAGGAAATGAAAACTCTGAAGTATCTGGTGGCCACAGCAAGAGTGGAATGGACAGGAAAAGGCTGGGGGCCTTCTTTCAACCCATACACAAAGGCCAGGCAGAGTGGCATGCACAACCATCATCCCAGCTCTCGGGATGCAGGAGGACCAAAAGCTCAAGGTTATACTGGGCTGCAGAGGAACTTGGAAGCCAGCCTAGACTACAGAAGACCCTGTCTCAGAAAAGTGAAAAGGAAAATCAATTCCCAGCACAGTGGTTACATCAGCCACTAGGTGTAAACTCGCCTGTCATGAGAATTCCAAGAAAGGGAGCCAGTGTGAACACCAGAACGTGAGGCTTAAACTATACAATTTCCATTCTCTCACCTGGTGGCTACATGTGACAGAGAAAGGTCATGAGCCCACCAAGTCCTCTAATGTGGCACCATCAGAAGATGCAACAAGAGGCTTCTGTCCACAGGGAAATGAGCATCTGAAACATCTAGAACTGGTACCTGTCTCTTTTTTGAAGCTCTATAGGAAGGGAACTCCCTATTCGTTCAACTCAATTGAAATCTATGAGTCTTTAAAATAAGCACATCTTGGGCCGCGTACTACACACCTATAATCCCAGCACTCAGAAAGTTGAGATAGGAGGATGGGAAATTCAAATACAAGCTAGGAAGAGAAATAGCATGTCTGGACAATAAGGATTGGAAAGGCAAAGAAAAACTGAAGTAATCTATGTGGCCATTCCTATCATTCTGCTGAGGTTAGGGCAATCAACATACCGAATGACCTACAGCGTATCAATGTTTACCCATGAAAATTTACCTGGATCATTTGCTAACCGTGTTCTCAGTCTAGGGGAATCTACTCAGGCTTTCTACCACTGAACCATGATCCCAGACCAAACATAATGTTCACAGACTCTAGATGTCCCATGTCACGAAACAGGATTTTTAAAAATACAACACACTCTATAACCAACATACAAATGATGTTAAGACACTCTCACATATTGGCACTTTCAAGTCAGAATCTAGTCAATAGCACTCCAAGTAAGTATATCACAGGCAAGAATTTGATTTTAGAAAAATTATGCAGATTCTAAATTATAGTTCTTTAAAAAGAGTTAATATGTAATATACTCATTATACTATTAAATATAAAGGGCTTCTAAAGGATTATGTAGTACATGACCTCTGATTTAAAAAAAATACTGCTCAATAAGAAATATATATAATATATTTAAATATA